GAGAGAGAGAGAGAGAGAGAGAGAAATGTGAGGGAGACACATTGATTGGTTGCTTCCTGCACGCTTTCCCCGCATGGGGGCTGTACTGGGGCCGTGAAAACCGGCCACCCAGGTACGTGCCCTTGACCAGGAATCAAATGTGAGACCCAATGGTGTGAAGGCTGATATTCTAACCACTGAACAACACCAGGCTGGGCCAGGCACAATTTCAACTCTAACATCCCTGTGGTGATAGTCTGACATGTACATGTTCCATGTGTTAAACACAGCATAAATGCTTTACGTGTTTTCACACTTAATCTTAACAATTCTAACAAGTATGCGCTATTGTTATCCACATTCTACAACTGAGGAAACAGGATCAGCAAAGTTAAGCAATCTGCCTAAAGTCCCATAGCTAGCAAGGGAAAAGCTAGCACGTGATTGAACCCAAGCAGATTTCAAACGCTGCTGGTTTCCCACCCAGCAGGTCTATTAGCAAAACCATGAAAGATTAAATATGAAATAAAAATTAGTCATGTGAACAAAATCACTAATTCTCTAAAGCAAAGATTGAGAACATTTGTATATTTGTCTCAACAAGCCTATGCTATAAATTCAAATTTTCACCAATAGCCACATATTACATTGGCAAGTAGCAGTGAGAAAAGTCATGTTTCTGAGAAGAGTCACCTAATAGCACTACAGAATGTAAAGCAGGCTTCTTTTTATAACTGAGTGACTAAATAGTGCTGTAGGAAGATGGTCACGTGCAGAATTGTCTATATGAGCAACTTTATACCATATTGAGAGAAGTTTTTTACCCATTTATATACAAACTTAGTTTCTTCTTTATGTTAGTGATTAGCATATTAGCAAATTTGCTTAGTGAAAGTTGAGATATTTCACCAAGTAATGCACCCCATGAACTGCAATGTCTTTCCATGCATATAACTATTTTCCACTTTTTCTTCACTTTCCTTTCTTAGTTCAGAAATGCATTGTTAAATATAACAATAAATGGCGTCTATACTCTTGACCATGCCACTAAAGAGCTCGTTTTGTTGTTAACTTGTATAGTGAGGGGAATAATGAAATGAGAAATGTGTTTACCATGAATTAGTTTTGCAAAAGCCAAGCTTTAAAAAATATGATTATAACCCAGTGTTTAATAACTCACCTCATGTGAAGACTCTTCAGGGAAATTAGGGACACTTTTATCTCTTGCCATAATCTCCCTTGAAGTCCTTCCCCTGAAATCCAAAACAAAGTAATTTAATGTTTGACAAAGTGGTGCAAAACACTGTGGTTGGCCAAAAGGTGGCAGCATTTGATGAGAGCATATTTGTCTATAACCCATTCAAGCTGTACATAATGCTTCTGTTTTCAGTAAAGGTAGGGTCAAAAGCACAGACATGAACTCAAATTTTATACTCACTTAAACTGACCGACTGAGTGGACAAAGTAAAACTGTCTTGTGAAAGGTTCATCTTGTAGATTATACATTTTTGAGTTCCCTGCAAATAAAAGGATAAACATTTGAAAACTTCCAAATAGTTTAAGAATTTTTTAAAAATTATGGCATAGATACAACCTTTCAATTTTCTTACTTTAACAACATTTTGAAAATTAAGCACTGCATGTGCTTAAAGAAACATATTTATTACTCTGTGAACCCCCATGAAACAAAGTTAAATCCTTAATACACTAATACTCCCTCGCCACAGCCCTTAGATAGCCTTGGGATTATTCAGATACGTATGTGGGTTTATTCACATTATTGCATCAAACTCATGTTGCAATTAAAAAAAAAAACAAAACATCTTAACTATAACAACTTAAAAAAGGGGGGGCGGGGAAGAAAATACTTCAGCCCTATCTGTTCGGCGAATGCTGTTCTAATTACCATCAACCAAAAATTTATTTAAAGGTAGCATTTACCCTGGTGTTCAGGAAATGCCTAGAAAATGACTGGCTTTGGAACACGAGACATGAAAGAAACTACCAGAGGTTGCTCCTCCTCTCCAGTTGGTGAGTGGAGGCCCTTCAAGGTAATGCTAAGATTCATCATCACAACCAACCAGAACACTAGCATAGAAATATCTGATAAATTAGGATGTAACATATATTTCTTTGGTGCCTAATCTCCCCTCAGTCAGGATTATAATTACATTGTACATTTACAATGAAATGAAAACCTGCAACTACTCATGAACTTCCAAATAAACCCAAGTTGAGAATTACAGAAAGAATAGAAGTTCTTACATTTTTTCCTGATCTTAACAGTAACGTACTCCTTGTGGTCTGTTTCGCCAACATCATCTAACGTGGCCACACAGCTTGGTACTACCTGAAGTAATTCCATTATTTTTGAATTCTATAATTTGAAAGGGAAAAGTTAACAGTAATATTTTTTATTCTTTTTCAGCAGTTAATTGCCTATTTTTGATACAAATGTCAGTATTAGGATAGCTGGACAGAAGAGCTAAGAAGCAACTGCAGATGAAACTTTGAGGCCATAAGTGAAAGAGCAGCCCTGCACTTGGAGCCTGGCTCCGCCCTCTGCTAGGCACTCAGGACTGGGCACTTTGCTGTTCTATGCAATTGGGTTGACAATAATAGGATCTATAATTTTAGAGTCATCAAGAGGCTATCCAGGGCCCAGCACATAGTAAGTCCTCAATAGAAACATTCATCAGAATGTTTGAGAAAGTGCTAAACTAAAAATTTTAAATATTTTTTTAAAATATATTTTTATTGATTTTTTTACAGAGAGGAAGGGAGAGAGATAGAGTCAGAAACATCGATGAGAGAGAAACATCGATCAGCTGCCTCCTGCACACTCCCCACTGGGGATGTGCCTGCAACCCAGGTACATGCCCTTGACCGGAATCGAACCCGGGACCTTTCAGTCCGCAGGCCGACGCTCTATCCACTGAGCCAAACCGGTTTCGGCGAATTTAAAATATTTCAATACTGTTAAGAAATGTCTGAAACTTAAAAATTAATTTAATAAGCCTATGAGTATGTTGGCTTTCTATGACTTTAACATGTTGGTAGTGTCATTTAACAGCCTACTAGTTGTCTACCCCAATTGGGAAACTAGATGAAGATTCAACATGAAAGCAGGAACAGTAAAGAGCTATCTTCTCCCACTTCTCCATGGTAAACGTGGCGGCACTGGGAGTGGTACTGGGCCTCCCCAATTCTCCATGCAGAATTCAAGGACTTTTAAAGCCACCAATTGAACAAACTTCCTCCATCGTGCTGCTAAGACCACAGGTGTATTTCCAATGCAGGGAGGGGGGACCAGAATGCTGTCTAAACTTGCTACTTCTCTGCGAGGACCTGACTGCTTGTCAGGGAGCCAGACTAGGGCCCAGACCTACGGTTGGTAAGAGGAGCACCTCTACTCAGGCCTTTGAAGACACACCCCTGAAGGACTGACTCCTGGATCCCGAGCAGCCCCCTTCTGACCAGGTGACCAAGTTCACCATATTGGCAGACTCCTGGCAGACTTCAGGCGTAGCCATTCAAAGGTCTGCTATTTCAGGTCTGGTTCACACACAGGCTTATCCAAAGTGAGCTGGGAGGCAATTGGGTGCCCTCCCACTCACCTGCTCAGCATAGTCTATAGCTGTGCACTGCCTCTTGTTCAAGAGCTGAACCGATGCTCCGTGTAGCAGCAGCAGCTCCACGACGAAGACATGCTTCTCTATCACAGCCTCATGCAGGGCTGTGTTGCCCTTATTGTTAGAGGCATTAATGGAGGCCCCGTGCTAGAAAGAAGCAGCACAATCAGAAGGAATGCTGAAGACGATATTAATGCAGAATCTAGATGGGTGTTCACTATAAAATTCTTTCAACTTTTCTGTATGTCTGAAATTTCTCTTAAAATGTTGGGGTTAAAGTAATACTGAGAAAAAACATTTATGTGCACAGATATTCATTGCAGCATTTATCATTATGGCAGAAAAAAAATAGAAGTCATCTAAAGCAGGAACAGTTAAACAAACACTCTATGGTACATCCATAGTTATGCAACCATTAAAATTTGAGGTTTTAATAAACAACTTTCTACCTTAAGCAAAAATAAGTAAGATAGAAAACAAGACTGTTTTAAATTATGCACATTTTCTTTTTTCTAGAAAAAAAATCCTCATCCAAGGATATTTTTCCATTGCTTTTAGATAGAGTGGAAGGGAGATGGGAGAGGGAGAGAGAGGGAGAGAGAGAAACACTGATGTGAGAGAGACAAGACACACTGATTGATTGCCTCCCGCACTCGGCTCAGTGGTGGAGCCTGCAACTGAGGTACGTGCCCTTGACCAGAAAATAAAAAGGGACAAAGGACATTCAGCTCACACTAAAGGTAACAGTTCAACTTAACCCAATACAATTCAATCTACCCTATAGGTAAAGAAGGCAAGATCTAAACCTTCAGCAAAAGCAGTGTGTGTCCTGAACTCTGCATCCTGGCAGACACGGAGAACCACTGTATGCAAATTTCATGCAAAGCTTCTCTCCCAGGGGCAGCTTAAAGCAAAGGGCAAGCTCTGCCCATCTGCAGTGCATGGCCAGGGTCTTACCAAGTGACGAGATGCCATCACTAACCAGTGCCAGCAGCTCCTGGGCTGTGGGGCCCTTACCTGTAGCAACAGTGCTGCAACTTCATGGTGGCCACTGGAGCAGGCATACATGAGGGGTGTGTTTCCACTTACATCCTTTTTATTGGGCTTTGCATTGGAATCTAATAGATACTTCACCACCTAGTCCAGAGAAGAACAATTTTTAATTAAAATTGGGAGAAATCCTGTGGCTTGATATTCTTTTGACTCTTCTCTAAGTTTATCTACTTTTCTCTAAGTTTATCTAGCAGGTTCTTTAGACCGGGAGAAAACAGACCAGCTGAAAGGGGGGGGGGCGGGGGATTAACATCTGCTGAGGGTTGACTGTGTGCCAGGCACTTGTTTCTTCATTTAATCATTTGATCTACCCCACAGAGAGCTGGAATTATTACTCCAGTTTTACAGGTGAGGAAGCTGATGCTTGAAGCACTATGTGAGATGTTAGGAGAGAGGTGGGAGACCTGAAATATGGTTCCTGACTTTAAAATACTTACATTAGAATAAGGGAAAATGAAATAATATAATTTTCAAAACAAAAAATGGGACTTTAAAAAAGTAAGTCATCCCACAGTCATCTCTTAGCCCTCCTCTAGAGGGCTGTACTCTACTTATTATAATTTTAAATTTTCATTTATTCATTTATTGATTTTAGAGAGAGAAGAAAGGAGAGGGAGAGAGATAGAAACATCAACAAGAGAGAAACATTGATGAGTTGCCTCCTGCACACCCCCATCCCCAGGGATTGAGCCCATAGCCCAGGCATGTGCCCTGACCAGGAATAGTACTGGTGACCTCTTGGTGCATGGGATGACATTCAGCCACTGAGCCACACCAGCCAGGCTATTATTATTATTTGTTGTTAATTCTCATCAGAGTGTATTTTTTCCACTGACTTTTAGAGACAGTGAAAGGGAGGGAGCGGGGGGAAAGGGGAAGGATGGAGAGAGCGCGAGCAAGTGAGAGAAACATCTACGTGAGAGACACATTGATTGGTTGCCTCCTGCATGCCCCGTCAGGGCCGGGGATTGAACCCGCAACCCAGGTAAGAGCCCTTGACTGGGAATTAAACCCTCAACCCTTCAGTGTGCAGGCTGATGCTCTAACCACTGAGAACGCCGGCCAGGGCTGTACTCTACTTTATAAAGTGCTGAGCTGTTTAGCACTGACCAAGCGCTGTGGGAACGTCAAGGCGCTAACATGCAGCAGGAACCTTGGAGGACCAACACCCAAGCATCAGAGAGCTGGGGCTGGGGTCAGGCCAGAATGCTGGGAGGGCAATGGGAAGGGGCTGGCTCCACACAGGAGCATCAGATTCTGTGTTCTGTTGCTAGTGGTCCATCCATGTGCACCTCAGAATCTCGGGCTGGGAGGAAGGAAGGGTGCTGGTCCTTTGGGGCACATGTCAAACCCCTGTCCCTAGGAGCATTCCCAAGTGAGGTTCTAAGCCAGGGGTGGGGACGTCTGGCCCGAGGGCTATGGAAGGCCTGTAAAATCATTTGGTCTGGCCTTGCCAAGGCTTTAAGGGTGAGTTATTAAAATGTTTGACCAATACAGCAGGCTAATTTTTAAACTGACAAATTTGGATGGCCCGTGAATGATGTTGTAAACATCCAAATGGTCCGTGGCAGAAAAAAGGTTCCCACCCCTGTTCTAAGCACAAGCAAATACCCTAACACTCTGCCCGAGACAACCTGTACCTGAAAGTGGCCTTGTTGGCAGGCCAGGTGGAGTGGGACAGCTTGGTTGGCATTTCTGGCAGCCACATTGGCACCATGCTTCAAAAGGAGGGGGATGAGGTCCACCCGACCATGCAGGGCAGCAACGTGCAGTGGGGAGGAGCCGTCCTGGTGGGTCACATTCACACCAAGCCCACTGGCAGGAACCTTTGCCAGCTTCTACAGGTGCGGAAGACACAAACAGAATGTCATTCGTATTTAAGAAACCAAAGCCATCTGCCCCTCACAACCCCTCAGCAAATTCAAGGTCACAGTGGCATCCAGAACCAGGTTACCCGCAGGTGAATCCCCACTACTTCATTTATTTATTTTATGTTTTGTGAATCCTCAGGTGAGGATATTTTCCCATTGATTTTTAGAGTGGAAGCAAGGGGGAGAGACACAGAGAAACATCGATGTGAGACACATTGATTGGTTGCCTCCCGCACGTGCCCCAGATCAAGCCTACAACCAAGGTATGTGCCCTTGACCAAAGTCAATCCTGCGACCCTTCAGTCCATGACGTGATGTTCTAACCACTGAGCAACCGGCGAGGGCCATCCTAACTACTTAAAAAAGATATGTGAGTCCAAGGATTAACTTCTATTTTTCAAGAAAGCAACCCCTAAAATAGTACCTTATTATGCCAATGGAAGAAAAAGTCTGCTCAACAGATGACGCTGGAACAACTGGGTATCCATATGTGGAAAAACTGCCTGTCAATCCTTATCTTACACCAAACACAAAAATTAAAATGCATCACAGATCTAAATGTACACGCTAGCTGAAACCGGTTTGGCTCAGTGGATAGAGCGTCGGCCTGTGGACTGAAAGGTCCAAGGTTCGATTCCGGTCAAGGGCATGTACCTTGGTTGCGCACACATCCCCAGTGGGAGATGTGCAGGAGGCAGCTGATCGATGTTTCTCTCTCATCGATGTTTCTAACTCTCTATCTCTCTACCTTTCCTCTCTGTAAAAAATCAATAAAAAATATATTAAAAAAAATGTAAACGCTACAACTATAAAACTTGAAGAGAACACAGAAGAAAATCTTTCCAACATTGGGATAAGCAATGATTTCTTAGATAAGACAAAAAGCAAAAACATAAAAGAAAACCTCGATAAACTAGGTTTAGAAATTGTAAATCTATGCTCTCTGAAACAGACAATTAAGAAAATGAACCTTTCCGCTTTCCCTGGTAGAAACTTGGCCATGAGCAGTGAGGAAGCACCAGACTATGGGCAAGGCATAGTAACTGTGGTCGACTGGCCAGGGTGTGCCTTGAACTTACTCACACGCCCGCAGTACTATTATGGAGATGGGAGTATGTCCTCATACCTCATGGCATCATTGTGGACAGAACTGAGCAGCTGACTAAGGATATTATAAAAAAGACATAGGATACTGTGACATTTTGGTTCTGTGTGTGCTTAAAAAGGTTACAGGTTCTGTGCTGATCTTGTAGAACCTTAAGGACATCAGCCGAAATTCAGATAGATTTGTCCCTATGAAGGTTGATTTCATCAGATTAAAAAGTTACAGGCAATACATTCATATGGATGAAGAGACCAAACAGAGAGAATCTGATTGTGGCAATTTTATGGAATAGACAACTTGAAAACCCTCTTGTTACAAAAATGCCACGTGAAATACATTTTAAAAGCCTCTTAAATGTTTACTGGAGCTCACAAGAAGATATAGAAACTGAGACCTGAGATGTTAAGTAACTTGTCCAAAGTAAAAAAGTGTGTAAATGGAAGATCTAATATTCAAACCCATGTTCAACTCCAGAGTCCAAGACAGACCACTAAAACTTACTGTCTCTCTAGAGATGTGTTGACACATTGAGACGAATTAGGCTAAAGGGAGGAAAACTTCACAAAGGAATCAGCATCATTTTTTCCTGAGCTTAATTTTCATATTTACTGAACTCAGTTAAACTAGCTCCCATAATTTCTGGGAGAATGGAATATCTGTAAATAGTTAACTGCTCATTATGTGAAATATTTTATACATTATATTAATAAATTATGAAGAATTACATTCCAATAAAATATTGACAAAAATGAAAATCAAAAGGCAGGAAAATTTGAGATCTTACTCTCCAGCTTATATTGCCAGTTTGGCTCAAATAAACTCTTATAAAAATTCTCCAAAAAAAAATCACCAAATAAGAGAAAATGTTTGTGATATGTATACCTGACAAAGGGCCAAGCAGAATTAAAAAACAAAAACCAAACTCTTACAACTCAATAACATAATCTAATTTTTATTATTATTTTTAAAAATATATTTTTATTGACTTCAGAGAAGAAGGGAGAGGGAGAGAGAAATAAAAACACCAATGATGAGAATCACTGATTGGCTGTCTCCTGCACACCCCATAATGGGGATTGAGCCCATAACCCAGGCATATGCCCTGACCGGGAATCGAACGCTGACCTCTTGGTTCATAGGTCGATGCTCAACCACTGAGCCACACCGGTTGGGCTATTTTTATTTTTTAAAAAATATTCTTTTATTGATTTTAGAAAGGAAGGGGGAGGGAGAGAGATAGAAGCATCAATGATGACAGAGAATCATTGACTGACTGCCTTGCACGTCCCACACTGGGGATCGAGCTTGCAACTTGGGCATGTGCCCTGACCGAGAATCAAACGGTGACCTCCTGGTTCATAGGTCGACCCTAAACCACTGAGCCACACCACCTGGGCTAACTTTTAATAGCAAAAGATTTGAAAAGGTGAATGGTCAGCCAATAAGCACATAAAATAACATCTTTAGTTATCAGGGAAATGCAAGTCAAAATCAGGAAGGACAGAACCAAAGGGTCAGAAAACAGATTGTTGATTGTTGAAATGGGGCAGGGAAGGGGGATAACTACAGAGGGGCAGGGGAGGCTATTTTGGGGTGCTAGACATAGTCTGTATCTTCACTGTGCTGCTGGAGGTTATAAGACCTTGAATTAACTTGTCAAACCTCATCAAATTGTCTGCTACTTACCTCTATAGTTCACCTTCATTTTTATCATGAAACTACCTTATTATTCACAGTGGTTTTAAAATAAATCATGTGGATGTAGAATAGTCAATCAATACTTAAAAGGGTAAAAAAAACCCTCCCTGATTTATAAACCATATAACTAAAAACAAACAAATAGTAATGCTGAATCATTTATTTTGATAGTAGAATTAATTAGTCACTATTTTCTGTGACTGGTAAGGATAAAAACTGGTTTAATCATCAGAAAGTAAATTAGTTCACTTTCTGATGATTAAAAATGTCATTGTCTGCCCAGCTGGCATGGCTCAGTGGTTGAGCATCGACCTATGAACCAGGAGGTCACAGTTCAATTCCAGGTCAGGGCACATGCCTGGGTTGCAGGCTCAATCCCCAGTGTGGTGCATTCAGGAGGCAGCCGATCAGTGATTCTCTCTCATCATTGATGTTCCTCTCTCTCCCTCTCCCTTCCTCTCTGAAATAAAAAAAAAAAAAATTAAGTAGGTGGGAAAAACAATGAAATACCCCTGCACACTTAACTGTAGGATGATGGCTAAAATTAAAAAATCAAAATACCAAGTGCTGACAAGAACGTGGGGCAACTAGAATTCTCACACACAACTGGTTGGAATGGAAAATGCTATAATTACTATGGAAAACTGGCTGTTTCTTATAAAGTTCAACATACACTTAAATCTATGACCCAGCAATTATACTCCTAGGTATTTAGTCATGTAAACATTTTTATACAAAGACTTGTACATAAACATTCACAGTAGTTTTATTCACCAAGCCAAAAACAGGCAACTACTACCCAGGCGGTGTGGCTCAGTGGATTGAGCATTGTCCCATGCACCAGGTCACTGGTTGATTCCTGGTCAGGGAACATGCCAGGTTTGTGGGCTTGATTCCCACTAGGGGGCATGCAGGAGGCAGCTGATCGATGCTTCTCTCTCATCTGATGTTTCTATCTCTCCCCCTCTCCATTTCTCTCTCTAAAACATCAATAAAAACATATTAAATGTATACAGGTGATTAAATAAACAAATTATGGTATATTCAACAAAATGCTACCCAGCAATAAAAATAAATGGGCTAGTAATGCAGCATGGATCTCAAAAACATTCTGCTGAGCAAAGAAAGCCAGACTCAAAAGGGTGTGTACTGTACATTTCCATTCATGCACAATTCTAGAAAATGCTGATGAGTTTGTAAAGACAGAAAGCAGATCAATGGTACATCTGAAAAATTATCCGTGCTGGGGACAGGGAGGAAGGGCAGAGCTGCACACGGCATGAGGAACTCTGGTGGTAATGTGGATGCTCTGTATCTTGATTGTGGTGATGGCTTCATGGGTGCACACATCTGTAGGAACTCACCAAACTGTATTCTTTACATGGATATATAGTAAGTCCTCACTTAACATCGATAGGTTCTGTGACTTTAAGCAAAATGACGCATAACAAAACCAATTTTACTATCGGCTAATTGATATAAAGAGTTAAGTTCCTGTAGCATCTCATCAGCATTATATTGAAACTAGAGGCCCAATGCATGAAAATTCATGCACGAATAGGCCTTCCTTCCCCCGGCTGCCAGCACTGGCTTCCCTCTGGCATCCAGGATCTGGGTTTCCCTCCTTCAGCTGCTGGCAGGCACCCAGGACCCAGGCTGGCTTCCCCGGGGCCGCCCGCAGGTACCTGGGACCCGGGACCCCGGCTGGCTTCCCTTGGGCCCCAGCTTTGTCAGGAAGGATGCCTGGACATCCAGAAGGTCATTCGGCTGTCAGGTCTAATTAGCATATTACCCTTTTATTATTATAGACTAGAGACCTGGTGCACGAAATTCGTGCACTGGGGGGGGGGGTTGTCCCTCAGCCTAGCCTGACTCTCCAATCTGGGACTTCCCTCTCACAATCCGGAACTGCTGGCTCCCAACTGCTCGCCTGCCTGATTGCCCCTAATGGCTTCTGCCTGCCAGCCTGATCACCCCCTAACCACTCCCCTGCTGGCCTGATTGACACCTAACTGCTCCCCTGCCGGCCTGATGGCCCCCAACTGCCCTCCCCTGCCGGCATGATCGCCCCCAACTGCCCTCCCCTGCCAGCCCGGTTGCCCCCAACTGCCCTCCCCTGCAGGCCTGGTCACCCCTAACTGCCCTCCCCTGCTGGCCTGATTGCCCACAACTGCTCTCCCCTGCCGGCCATCTTGTGACCACATAGGGGCGGCCATCTTTGTGTGGGGGTGTGATGGTCAATTTGCATATTACCTCTTTATTATATAGGATATTATTTGAGTACTTGCTGTACTTTATAATATGTAAGTTATACTTCAATAGAGTTTTTAAAAACTCTATATACACCAGTGGGATAGAAGAGAATGGGGTTGGGGGGAAGTTTTAATTTAATTACAGACATGAAGCAATTTTTGTGCTTTTTTGAGAAGTTACAAAAAGAGGAAAAGATAAGAGTTTTTAAATGAACAGGGAACATAAGGCTTTTTTTGGGTCTGTTGGTTTTTTTATTGATTTTAGAGAGAGAGGAAAGGAGAGGGAGAGAGAGAGAGAAATATATCGATCAGTTGCTTCCCCTAGCACCCAGACCAGGGATCAAACCCATAACCTGGGTATGTGCCCTGACCAGTAATTGAACCCAAGACACTCTGGTACACAGGATTACGCTCCAACCAATTGAGCCACACTGGTCAGGGCCAACATAAGACTTTAATCCAATAAATTCAACAGATATTGTAATGTGTTTTAAGCATCTTGTTACAGCTAATGAACTGAGGTGAAGAAGAGAGTATAGAAAAATAAGAAAAGAAGAGAGATGGAATAACTGCTTCTAGCTGCAAAGACTCACTGACTGGACCTGGGGGGTTTGTTACTTCATATCTTTTGAAATATCAGTTGCCTTTTTTATCCCTATTTTTTTCATAGCCACCCATCTAGGGGGAAAACATTTTTGGACTGTACACATCCGGCACCATGGGAACAGAACAAAAGTTGCACAGTCTAATGTACACATTAACCTGCCACTGAAAAGCCACACGTGAATGAAAAATATAGTCATTTCAGTATTCTTAGGTTAGAGAAACCCATGGTAAAGCTTTTTAAATAAGGTAGTATACTCTTACAATACGAAACATAACACCCGTATATCTATTTTGTAAAGTCAAATTAATTTTCTTAGTATGGAACACACCTTGAGTTAGAGAGCTAGCACACGAGTGCATACTGTGTACATGATGCTATTTACAATTACACAAAAGAAAAGAAAATACTTAGATATACATTTAACAAAATGGACAGGATCTGTTACGCTGAAAATCACAAAATGTTGATGAAGAAATCAAAGAAGGCCTAAATATAGTAGAGATATACCATATTCATGAAGACTCAACATAGTAAAGATGTTATTTCTCTTCAAATTGATGTATAGTTTTAATGCAATTCCTATAAAAATTCTAGCAAGGTTTTTTTGTAGACATAGATAAGTTTATAGTTTATAGGAAAAGGCACAGGCCCTAGAATAGCTAAAACAATCCTGGCAAAGAAGAATAAATTAGGGAGAATCACTCTACCCAATATTACGTCTTACTATCAGTTGCAATAATCAAGACGGTGTGGCCCTGTGTGGCTCCCACAGATCAGTGGGACAGAATAGCGAGCTCAGGGATAGACCCACACCATACACAGTCCACTGAGGTCCAAAAAGCAAGTTGGTGGAGGAAGGATGGCCTTTCAACAAATGGTGCGGGAGCAAGTGGACATCTGCAGGCAAAAAATAAACTGCAACCTAAATCTCACACACTGTACAAAATTTAACTGGATCAGGGACTTAACTGTTAAATGTAATATTATAAAACTTTTAGGAAAAACAAAAGGAGAGAATCTTTGAAATCTAGGGCTAAGCACAGTGTTCTTACATTTATCCACAAAAGCACAATCCATAAAAGGAAAAACTGATAAACTGGACTTCTAAATTAGAAACCTGCTCTGTGAAAACCCATGTGAAGAAGCTACAGGCAAACTATAGACCAAAAGAAAATATTTGCAAACCACATATCTGACAAAGAGCTGGAATCCAGAATAAATAAAGAACTCTGAAAACTCAACAGTAAAAAAAAACAAACACAAAAAAACAACACAACACCACACACACATACAACAGCCCGGCCCAGTAGCTCAGTTGGTTAGAGTGTCGTCCCGATATGCCAAGGCTGTGGGTTTGATCCCTGGTCAGGGTACATATAAGAATCAACCAATAAGCCCTAGCTGATTTGGCTCAGTGATTAGAGCGTTGGCCTGTGGACTGAAGAATCCTGGGTTCGATTCCAGTCAAGGGCACATGCCCGAGTTGCGGGCTCGATCCCTAGTAGGAGGCAGCCAATCAATGATTCTCTCATCATTGATATTTCTATCTCTCTTTCCCTCTCCCTTCCTCTCTGAAATCAATAAAAATGTATTTTAAAAAAATCAACCAATGACTAACCGGTTTGGCTCAGTGGATAGAGTGTTGGCCTGCAGACTGAAAGGTCCTAGGTTCGATTCTGGTCAAGGGCATGTACCTTGGTTGTGGGCACATCCCCAGTAGGAGTGTGCAGGAGGCAGCTGATCGATGTTTCTCTCTCATCGATGTTTCTAACTCTCTATCCCTCTCCCTTCCAATCTGTAAAAAAAATCAATAAAATATATGTTAAAAAAAAATCAACCAATGAATACATAAATAGGTAGAACAACAAATTGATGTCTCTCCCCTTTTTCTCTCTCTAGAATCAATAAAAACATTTTTTTAAAAGAAAGAAACGAGTAACAAAGTGGGCAAAGGAAATGAACAGACATTTCACTGAAGAATAGATACAGATGGCAAATAAGCACAGGAAAAGAGGTTCAATGTCATCACCCAGTAGGGAAAGCAAACTGCAACCCAATGAGACAGTGTTACACACTTATTCGAACGGCTAAAATAACTAATAGTGACAACACAAGCTGGTGAGGATGCAGAGAAATTGCACCACTCATAGATTGCTGGTGGGAATGTAAAATGTATAACCAGCCTGGGAAAGTCAGTTCTTCACAAAACTAACCATAGAATTAACATGTAATTATCACATGAGTCAGCAATTGTACTCTTGGGCATTTACCTTAGAGAAAGAAAACTATGTTATGTTCTTACAAAAACGTGTACACAAATGTACATAGCAGCTTTATTTGTAATTTCCCACATCTAGAAACAAGCAACATGTCCTTCAACAGGAGAGTGGTTACACCAGCTGGCACATACAACCATGAAATACTGCTCAACAATAAAGAAATAAACTGTTAACTACATGCAACAACTTGGAATCATGCTAGAGAACAAAGCCAATCCTCAAAGGTTACGTGCTGTATGATTACATATATAACATTTTTGAAGTGGAGAACAGATTAGTGGGTGGTGGGGTGGGGGTGACAGAGAGAAGTGGGTGTTGTCGTAAAAGGGCAACGTGAGTGATTCTTCTCATGGTGAGTGAACTATTCTGTACCTTGAATGTGGTGGTGGGTACACAAAGCCACATATGTGATAAAACTGGATAGAACTAAACACACACACACACACACACACACACACACACACACACGAGCACAGGTAAATGGGATATCTCAATAAGGTGAAGGATTGTATGTGTCTATGGTTTTGCAAGCTGTTACCATTAGGGGAAACTGGATTGTACAGGGGACGTGTCTGCCACAGAGGAAGTACCAACGTGAGCAATGGTAGTGGCAATGGACCTCAAGTGCAGCCTCCCCAGGGGGAATGTGACCACATGGACGGAGACCCTCAGGCGTGTCTATTTGTAAACTCCTGCCTATGACTCAGGGGCCCAGAGAGCACATGTGGATGTCCCTGCTCACTGACCTGCCTGTTCAGGAAGCAGGCAGCCCAAGCCAGATCCTGTACTGGCGCCAGCTTCTCTCCGCCCTGAGCTAACTAACCCCACCACATCTCAGGGATACCCACTACCAGCCACTCAGAAATTAGCTGGCTGAGAAGCAGACATCGTTTTCAAGGGGACAAAGAAGAGTGTTCCCTCCTATCACCACCCTCATCAACAGAAGCAACGCCAAACCTTTTGAGCTGGAGCACATTTTGGGCATTGGCACAAGGGGTGACAAAATTCAAGATCTGCAGCACTGACAGCATCCTCCACATCCTCCAGGTCCTCCTCTGTCCACTCCAAAAGGTAACGCACCTGAGGTTGTACAGTAAAGAGAAATAGGAACTTAAATCTCATCCTTAGCTCTTTTACAAGATACAGTACGTTAAACTCTCTAACTGTTCCCAAATCAGGGCCACAGTCACTAAAAAATGACAGGTGCTGCTCACAAAGATTCCAGGGGTCACATGTGCTCAAGCCTTTCTAAACCCTTTCATGCTGATATAGAGAGATTAAGCTACTGTTTCTGTAGCTTGTGTTAGAGATTCTTTTCTTCTATCTTTGTTATTTATTTATTTATTTATTTATTTATTTATTTATCTTTAAAAAATATCTTTATTGTTGAGAGTATTACAGATATCCTCTTTCCCCCCCATTCCCCCTCCACCTGGTTCCCGCCTTGCTCCAGGCCTTCGCCACCCTATTGTCTGTGTCCATAGGTAATGCCTATTTATATAACAAAAGCCTAGGCCAGTGTTTGGCAAACTCATTAGTCAACAGAGCCAAATATCAACAGTACAACACTTGGAAATTCTTTTGAGAGCCAAATTTTTTAAACTTAAACTATATAGGTAGGTACATTGTTATTAACTTAATTAGGGTATTCCTAAGGCTTAGGAAGAGCCACACTCAAGGGGCCAAAGAGTTGCATGTGGCTCGCGAGCCGCAGTTTGCCAACCACGGGCCTAGGCAAACATTACGGTGGAATGACCAGAATGACCAATTGCTATGATGTGCAATGATCACCAGGGGACAGACGCTCAACACAGGAGTTGCCACCTGGTTGTCAGTGCGCTCCCACAGCCAACCTCCCATGGCTGGCCAACCTCCACGGTCCCTCCCCCTGGCCAGCCAGCCCCGATTGGCCCTGATTGGAACTGGGCAAGATGGCCCCAATCGCCGGCCAGGCCGAAGGACCCCACCCATGCATGAATTCATGCACCAGGCCTCTAGGCCTATCTAATAATAGACAAACATGGTAATTGACCATACCTTCGCTACGCTTCCCATTGGCTAATCAGGGCGATATGCAAATTAACTTCCAACAAAGATGGCGGTTAATCGCCAACAAAGATGGTGGTTAATTTGCATACGTAGGCGCAATGCTGGGTGGCGAAAGTGGAAGGATGGAAGAAGCCGCCTGCCGCTGACGGTGATCGGAAACCCAGGCGGCAGGCAAGAGCTGGGTGGCAGGGCTGTGATCGGAGAACCGGGGCCGCCTTTGCCCGCCCCCCGGCCGGTGACTGGAGAAGCTGGGCG